AGGTGGAGGAAGAGATGGAAGGATTATGTATGGCACAACTCAGTGAACTGGGAAATGATTGCAGTTGTGTTACCTACAGGTATCAACATAAAGCCAAAAGACAGGTGGACTAAAATAAAATTTGATGTCAAAGTAGGACTTAACATGTCATTTTTCCTTTTTCCTTTCATTCTTAAAGTGTTAAAAATTATACTGGTTCATAGGACAGTCAGCCTAGAGCAAATCACTCATGGCAGCCTAGCCTGAAATGGAAATAAGTTGAAACTGTGTTCTCAGATGTTGATGGAAAAACAAAGTGACACAATATTCATAGAATTATTGAATCTGCTGAGTTGGATGGGACCCATCAGGATCACCGAGTCCAACTCCTGGCCCTGCATGGGACCATCTCCAAGAGTTGTACCACGTGCCTGAGAGTGTTGTCCAAACACTTCTTGAACTCAGACGGGCTTGGTGCTGTGACCACTGCCCTGGGGAGGCTGTTCCAGTGCTCAACCACACCCTGGGTGAAGAACCTTTTCCTGATTCCAGGGTGCTGGTCAAAATATTTCTCTTGGAGTTGCCAGTCCTGAAGATACGGGCTTTTCCTCCTGTGTCAGTCCAGGGTTGGTCCACAGGAGTGTTTCCAGTGCCACGATGGTAGCTCAGCAGTGTCTGTGCTACTGCAGCAGTACTTCCCTCACATCTTGGATGCCTGGATCCCGAAACCTGTTTCTGGCAACACGAGCCTCCCCGTGGAGTGAATTCAAACCTTCCTGCCAGCAGATTTGCTTTTCATTCTTCTCTGCCATAGACCCACTAGAAATGGTTTGCAGTTACTCAGGATCTGTAGTTCACAGGTTGAAAACAGCTGAGCTGGACCGGATATCTAAATAAGTGATTTGTGAACGTTACTGGTTTTTATTTTTCTGCAAAATGGGTAACTGGTGCTGCCATATCCATACAACGTACATTTGCAACTCGAATATGGTAAACAGGTGTTCTTGAGAGCTTCATTTCCTTGTCAGCGACTTTCAGTGACGTAGACACTTGAGTTTTACTGCTGGAAGATAGTAATCAAATATGAAGATAACAAGCTAATTTGCTGCTGCCAGAAAATTATTTCCTTCGGCCATGGAAGAAGGGCAGAGGCAGACCTGGTTCTTCTGGGCTCTTGGTCCTTTCTGTTTCAGAAACGGGTGTTTTTGTGGGGTCTTCTGTCAGTCATCATCCCTTCAGCCAGGCAACAGCATTTCAGCCTCCTTCCCCACCCCGCTGTTCCTAACAGAGGCACGTGATGTACCCGTGATAGGCTGGGTTTCATGGCAGTGTCTGTTTTCAGAGAAGACAAATAGATGATTATTTGCAGTACAAATATGGCACCCTATAACTGCTTAAAGAGACTGCTACACTCAAGAGATTTTTAATGCCTTCTTTTTTCTCATGTGGAAGTAGAATTAATCTTGGTTTCCTGGCCTCGGGAATACTGTTGTGGACTTCGCTGCTGCTGATGGTGCTTATCAAGTTTTTTGACACCTGTTGATAAGTACCTTCTACAGTATAATGGCATTTTGGGAGCTAATCTAGAATAGCTTCAAAGCTATTTCTCAGGAACTGTGAGAATGCTGAGGTTTTATTTGTGGCAGCCTTTCATGTAAATATTTACTGAGTCTCCTGCAGTTCTCCCAAAGATGTGTGATGTTACCTCATAGGCACCCTGAGTAGAGATTGCCTCTATGGAGAAGGTTCCTGGAGGGCCAAGACATTGGAAGAACCTGATTTTGATGACTCTGAGACATTAATTGAATTTGTCGTTGACCCCTCCCCTTCCAGGAGATAAATTTTACCCTGTGGAGTAAATTATGATCAGATTTTTTAATCATCACAGTAAGAATATTTAGTGCTACTTCCTGAAGTGTCAAGGAAATCTTGTTGATGAAATGAGGTGAAAATCTTACTTAGTTCCTCTCCTTTTTGATTTATGGCTGGGTTTGTTTTAACCTTTCTATGCTTCAATTGCAAGTCATGATGACTTTTAGTACTGATTGTTCAGTAGGAACCTTGACCTTGTTTCTTTCCTCTTGTCGGGGTAGCAAAGGGAAGAATTGTCCTGTTCTGGGAAATTGCTCTGTGAAAAGATAATGAAAATTAATCTGTAATCATCTCCTTCCTTGTTTTCCCTCTTTTTTTTTTTTTTTATTGCCCCTCTAATCTTTCCTCCCCACCATCATATCATGGTTATGTTGTGTTTGTGGTTATGCTACTGAAATTTCTGGGTGATCACAAAGTGGTTGGGAATAAAAAAAAAAAAAAAAGAAAGCCTATTTCCCTTCCGGCGTCATCAGTGCCATAATTTGTTGGCTTGCCCTTTTTTAAGGTTGAGCTTTGCACTGAAATTACTCCTTTGCTATCTTAATGAGTTTCGCAAGTTTGTTTGTCTGGGTAGTGGGAATTTTGTGGATGTGACGCACTGTGTTAGTCAGATTCAGGTAGAGTGTTGGGATGCTTTTGTGATCCCTCCTTTTAGAAGCTGAGCTTGACTTCATTCATTTGGCTTTTGACTGTTCTGTTCTCTCCCATCTTTCTTATTTGCATGTGGTTGCTTTTACGTAGATCCAGCTATGAAGAACTAGTTTGGTTTTCTTTGTTCTTGGTTTTGTTTTTTTTTTTTTCCCCCCAGTTGTTGACAACTATCATAGAGCTTAGCAAACAACTAATGTTCCTGTGTCAGGAAATAGCACAAAATATGTATCAAAGCAATATGTAAATGCAGGAAGCAAACTGTTGCCAATGTGACTGGCTTCTTTGTCAAAGTTGAATTTGTAGTGTTGAATGGGGATATCTGGAGGTACTTATTCCATCCTATTGACTTGGGCTTGGAAACAGCCTGTGGTGATCTCCACATAAAAGCTTGTGGGAAGCAGTTAACAGTTGTGACATGGTTTGCACCAGGGAAGTCCTGTTATTGTTTCTTCCATGGAGAACCAAGAGAAAGGCCAGCAGGTCTGGTTTGATTGACAAAACTATGGTTAAACCTTTAGGGTTTCATTGTCTTTCATTCTTTCTGTTGTCCCTTTGGGGTGCTGGCTCCTGGCTAGTGAAGGACACAGGCTGGATGAAGGAGTCGTGACAGGATGGTGCTGTAAGGAGGCAAAAGTGGGAGTCTTTCCTTTGCCCAAAAGTCACCAGGTGAGAGGCTTAGGATGATGTGGTGGTGACCACTTGGAGCTGAGCAGCACAACTCTGTGCTCAGTGCTTTGCCCATCCAGGGGACAGCGTGGCTGTCACTGGGGCAGGGAGGAGGACCAGCCTTTGGAGGACTAATTGCCCAGAAAGTCTGTATTAGGTTAAGTAGCGTGTTATCAAATGCAATGTGTTATCAAATGAAGTACAACTCTATTGCAGCTTTTACTTAAACACCTGATCTGCAGAAATCCATTGAAAAACCAAAAAAACCCCACAGAAGTTATTGGGTTGAATTAGTTTTGAATTAATCTAACATTTTAAAATTTTGCATTGCTGTTTTGTTCCTTTTGTTTGTTTGTTTGGGCTTTTTGTTTGTGGTTTTGTGGGGTTTTGTTTGTTTGTTTGTTTTATTTTGTGGTTTGGTTTTTTTTTCATTTTCACAACTTTTACTGGAAATAATGATGGGTTTTTTTAAACTTAATGAGCCATGGCATCACAGTAATATTAGCACTCCTAAGCCATATGTGAGAACAAGCTCAGATAGTTCAAGCAGAAGCTGCCAGCTGTGAGGCAGTGCATTTTCCTGTATTCATCAGTGTACTGTGTCAGTGATGGCTTTTCACTCTCCTTATTTCCTGTCATTAGAAACAGTGGCTTTATTTCTGTGCTTTCAGAGTTACCAAAGAGAAACAACGCTCAGTTTTGGATATTTCTGTGTTGCTGGAGGTCCAGTTGCTGGTTCTGCTCCACCCATACTGGAGTAAACTGGTTTTTTTGAAATTCAAGGACTCCACTGCATATGACTGAAAGATCCCCTTCATTATTTGGGTTTATTTTTTTTTCCAAAGCTAGGAGGTGTTAGCAAGCTGACCTGCAGCCCTCTGGCACCCCGGGCCCTCTTTCTTACACCTTGAAGCCTCTTTTTTGGTAGAACTCCATCCCTGTTTCCTTGCCTGGGATCTCTTGAAGTTTGTTTCTTCAGATGTACCCAGGAAAGTGCCGTTATAGCTCAGCAGACATCAGAAAGAATGACTGGCAGTGGATAGTTGTGCATTCCCACTGAACTCTTCTGCATCAGAGTGGGTTTAGGATACTTTTACACGGGGTCTATTTAAATTTATGTGATGTGTGAGGTGAGTTAAAGGTCAAAGTATTGGACTGAGATAAGACAGACCAGTCTCTTCCAGCTCTATAGTTGTTGGGATGGGGAGTGTTTGACAGGTCAGTTTGTTCCTCCATGACCCACCTTCCTTATCTGAGAAGTTGTTGCAGTTCCCTTGATGTATTTGTAAATGATTTTGAAGTTGTAGGAGTGATGTGTGCTTAACAAAACTAGGTTATATCATTATTGGATGCTGCACATTGATTTTTTTTTTGCCTTGAATATTTGCAAACTAACGGGTTTGGTTTCATCTGGTTTTAAAACACTGGCAAATGTGTATATGGAATACCGTGGAAATCTGTATGTATCTGTGACTTCCCTGTATTTTTGTGGTGTAATAACTGTTATTAATCAGAATCTATTGGATGGAAAATAGATTAACAAGTACTAAATTGGGAGTGATGGTTGAAAGGTAGTTAAGCAACAGAGATATTTTTCCCCTCAGTTCATTAAAAAAAACCCCCACAAACCAACCCTAAAAGCTCCCCCCCAAAAAAGAGTGAGAGACACTTTTACTTGCCAATTTCCAAAGCCTTTCAAATGGTCATGTAAAAAATATTTGTTTTTCGTTTTTCTTTTTTTAATCATGGTACCTGTCGACTTACCTCAGAATCACCACTTCTGTCTGCTGTGTCCAAACTTCCTAATCCCTTTTTTTTTTTTTTTCCTCTCCTTTTCAGAGAACAAGGAACAAAAAATCCTCCTGCAACTCGTTACTTGTCCTCTAAGTCAGGGCAGAGCTGCACTTCCTGGCTGCTGTGAAGAGCTGGGTGAGAATGGATGCGACATAAAGCGAAGCAGAAGTCCTGAAGCCTTAGTCACCAGTCTGATGGACTTACTGTAAGTAGGATTAAGGCTGGTTTCTTACCTAGCTACCGTGCAGATAAGTTCAACGGTGCATTGTTTACATTTTTTTCGCCATCACTAATAAGCAAACACCAGCCCCAGCCTCCCTAAACTGTCACAAAGTATTGGCACGCTCGAGGTGCCAAGCTGCTGTTGAAACTTGCTTCAGAGACGTTTGCAGTTCAGTTTTGGGAGAGATGACACCTTGGTAGACATCCTAAAAACGGATCTTATGCCCTGGGCTGAATTATGCTGAGTCTTGATGCAACTGCGGTGTGCCTGTGTGCAGGGTTCTGCTCTGCCACTTAGGGAAAGGTATTTCTCAGTGCATGACTGAGGCACTTCCTAGGCTCGTTTCCATGTGGAGCAACACGAGGAGATTCAGTAGATTACAGCATTTATTAAAATGATAGCTCATGGAGGTGTATGACTGCACCAGCAAACATTTTGTGTTTCTTGTGTCCGTGCTAATCGGTGGTTTTACCTAATGTTAATGTTTAACTTCAGAATAAACTGTTGTATGCTTGAAACACTGGACATAGCTCTTCTTTTTAACTCTTATTTTCAAAACTTCATGTGGGTATTGTTTCCCTGTTTTTGGTGCTGTGGCTACAACACACAGCCAAGAAAACAACTCCTTGCAACACGTAAGAAAAGAAATGTGGCTTGTGGGGCTGCGAGCTGTTATCAAATGAGCTGAATTTGTATTTCCCGATGCTTTGCTCGTGTTCTTGTTTCTGTGTCATAAACCTCAGAGTAAGTGTTACATGAGTAAGTGTTGAGAGAGGCAGGAGGACCTGAACTTGGTACTGACACCGTGTGGGTTGTTGCCAGGATATTCTTTAACAGCGAGAGTGAGCACTGACTTAACCTTCTCAGTTTGTGTGGCGCTCGTGTTAATGAATAGTTGTCACTGTATAATCCTCAGGGCTGTGGTGAGAGGCTGTTGAGATCTGATTTCATGCTGCACCTTAATTTGTACTCTCTCTTCAAATACTTCCGTTTTTGTTTGGTTTGTTTGTTTGGTTTTCTTTTTTATTTTACTCCCCCCCCCCCCTCCAGATTTGGCATTTTTCCAAAGGGAAAACTGACAAGAAAGGTGGACAAAGCTCTTCTGGTTGTGATTGTTTTCTTTTTTTTTTATTTCTTTTGTGTGTAGGTTCATGCTTTACTTCCAAACACTTGAATTGTTTCTGTACTGTTGACAAAGGAAAGATGACCTCTACTGTAGTAAGTAATCAAAATGTTCACAATATTCCTCTCTGATTTTTTTTTCTTTTAATGATGTTTTATTTCTTTGTAAGTAACAGCCTATTGAGTAATGTACTGATTAGTAAGTCTTTTAGAACATGGAATGTTTGCTGTTTTCTGCAAAAAGGGAAAGAGTCAGGTTTAAGAGGCTTAAATTAACATTTCAAGTATTCAGATGCTTTTAGGAGAGAATATTTTTAAAGCTTATTTTGATGGGAATGGGATAGTTTAGAATGGCTTCTAACTAGTTCCTAAAGCTCTTCCTGGATAAATATCCCACAACCTGTTGTAGGCCAGCGCGTTTCAGAAATAGCTTAGGTATACCTGGTGTTGTCACAGGACAAAATGGGGCAGTAAGCATTTATCCTAGACCTGGACAAAGGCTGTTACTTGTCAGCATTTCTTTCTGTGACAGAGCAGCCTAAAGCTGTCCTTGCTGTTTATTTCTACCCTGTCAGATGTCCCAGTCCAAGCGTTCGTGCCACCAGCTTGGAGGGCCGGGCTCAAGAGTCCTTCTCAGGCTGAGTTGCTTTGGATCAGGAGACTGATCTTGTCTTACACTTTCCAGCCTCTCCCTGTGTTATTTTTATTATTCAGAGTGTGAGGTGCTAGGCATGTGCTGTAAATCCCTTCCTCCGTGTAAGCTGGAGTCACTAGTAAGTGTCTGTGTGTGGGGTGTATTTCTGCGTTGGCAGAGTTACTGAGTTAAGGTTCTGAGTGTGGATGGGTCTTGAAGCTTTTGTCCTAACTGCTGTCTTGCCTCTTTTTGTTCCTTTTTCCCCCCATCGACGTCACCTTTCAGGGTCCACCGCCATACTATGAGAACCACGGCTTTCAGGCAGAACACATCTATCCTGCCCGCCAGGCAGTGGGTGCTAATCCATATCCACAGTTCTACTCCACAAATGCTCCCCCAGTGCCAAGCTATGTCCCAAGGGTTCACACCCACCAGTCCACCAGGCCAGTAGCACATTCGTCCAGGAGGTCGTGTGCATCAAGTAAGTTTCGTTGGGATTTCCTCCAGTTTCAGGCTTAAGATAACAAAGAGAAGGGATCTGTCCCTTCCAGCTTGTGCGTTGAGGGAGCCACCTCCCTGTGGAATGAAGAAGTGATACCTGGGTGGGATGCTGGTGTAACTGGACATGGGTGATTCGAAGGAAGGATGGTGGAATGGAGAAAAGCGTCTGGTTTTAATGTCAGGGAAAAATACGGTGCTGATGGGTGGAAATTACCTTATTTGTTAACCTAATTTCTTTTTTTCGCCTTGCTTTCGTTTCAGGTTTAAGGAAAACCATAATAATATTATTATCTGTTTTAGTAGTCATTTGTTGTGCAATTGCTGCTTTTTTCATCTGGTATTTTGGTAAGTTTGGTTTTTTTTTTTCTTGTTTTGAAATTAAAATGCATTAAGCTTCCAAAGTTAGAACCATACATTCTCATCTTGCATTTCATGCCAAATTAAGGACAGGCAAGTCTTAGCTGCTTATCTCCTGAGAGATGAACTAATGTTGCTTTCTAATGGCTCAGTTTTGTTTGTGGGTTGGTTTTTTTTTTGTTCATTCTCTTTTTAATGAACAGTGCAGCTGCCTCTTCCCTTCCCCTTCATTGGGTAGATATGTTTTTGATCTTAAGCAGTGACAACTTTTTGACTGTTGAGGAGTGTCTTATTCAGGTGGCTCCTCTGAAAAGGTTCCCTCTATCTGCCAAGAGCTGGTGCAGGACAATTAGCAGAGAATACTCTACCTCTGGCAAGGAGGGAGAGCTGGCACATGACTGTGCATGGCCAACACGTTCTGCGGTGCAGTTCCTTAGAGAAGTGGCGCATCAGAAACTGAACTCTGCCCCAGATTTAAACTTCACTTACTTTTAAGTGAAGGAAGGAGGTTGCAGTGAATTTGTACACCTTAACTGCAGGAGTGTAAACGGTCAAAGTGTGTTTTGGTTTGGTCAAGTGGGATCCCTCTGGGAGCAGAGGTCGTTTAAATCCATGTATTTGTTTCTGTGAGGCTTTTGCTTTGAAAGTGTGTAAACACTGCAGAGCCCAGCCCGTCTCACCACCTTAAGCCGCACAATGGATGATACATTCACCTTGGAAGTCATCCACAACTGGGGTGACCGAGCTCTGAAGCTGGGCTGGAACAATTCTCTTCAGCTTAAGTGAAGTTTGACTCATGCTGTCTTAATTTCCCTTTCAGTGAAAGACACTTTTCAAAGGAAATTAAAATCCATATTTTTTTTACGTTTTTAGGAGCCTTTCCTTTCTCTTCTGTGTAGGAAAAGAGGAGGAGAGATCTATGTCCCTGATCATTACATTGGGGTTGGACTAGATGATGTTTAAAGGTCCCTTTAACCCAAACTATTCTCTGATTCTAAGAGAGTTGATTTAGAACTACTAGGATGACACTTTGTGTTCTTAGGGGTGTTTTTTGTATTCCCTTTGATTTATAAAAGGTGAGTGTAATCTTCTTTTAAATGACAGCAAGAGTATATAATTGGAGCACTCACTTTCTTCCTCGTTGAAGTGTGATGTCTTGTCAAAAAGCTGACTCTTTTTTGATAACTTAATGGCTCTTGCTTACTCAGAGGAAGCCAGTGGCCAAAATCCAATCAGCTGTATCAGTGACTTAGCCTGACAAGTGATGTAAAGGGCAGAGCAAGACACCCCGTTGTGTCGGGCTGGGTTTCCTCCCATCTCTGAGTTTAAAGAGCTCCTATCAAAGCGGAGCCTTTGAGAGCTGGCAGTGGGCACCTGAGGCTCACTGATGTTCAGCCTTAGGGCTGTTTCTCTCTCTCCCTGCAGTAGAGAATCACTGTCTGGGCTCCCTGATCGAGTGTGGCCCTTCAGGAGTGTGCATGTCGCCCTCTCAGTGGTGTGATGGAGTGATTGACTGCCCCAACGGGGAGGATGAAACCCGCTGTGGTGAGTGACGGCGTCAGGGGCTTGGGGAGGGGACCTGCAAAGAGTTTTGGAGCAGCTGGCCTTGTGCAAAGCTTGCCTAAGTTACAACAGGGTTGTTCTAGCCTAAGTTATGTCTCTGAAATGGTTTAGGGTGCTTGAGTGCTCTGAAGGGGGTGTATCTAGATAGTCAGTTTGTTTTCGGTCTGATTGAAAAGCTGAAAGAAAACGTCTGACTCAGGGGTTTGAGCTGCCTTGACTTTGAGTTTTATATATTACCTTTTAATTTGAGTAGGGCTTGTGCAAAACTGAGCGTAACATTGTCTCTGGAATGAACAGTCGTTGTTGACTTCTCAGTAAACCTCAGGTGGTAACATAAACCTGGTGGTCTTCGATCATGCTTGTCTTTTTTCCATTAATTTTGGATTCTCTGTTCTCCCCATAACTCTTCAACTGCTTCATAACTCCTCTGTGCCAGAAAGCCTGACCTGGTCATTGTTTCCAACCAAAAGGGTGCCAAGGGAATCGAGATAATGTAAAGCTGATGGTAGAAGGTGGAAACATCATTGATTTGTAGATTCCAAAGGTGTGGTACCTTGTTCCTGGCACCTGTGCCGTGCTGGAAAACTGTTATTCTCTCTCTCTGAGCTTTTATTCATCACATGCCTTGTGCAGTGTTAGCATTTACTGGCATATGCTCTAAAGCTGTTCCTCTCCATTTGATTGAATAATGGGTTCTTGGAGGAGCTTGTTCAATCTGTTCTTTTGCTCGAGCTATTTTATATTAAATTCTTGTGCAAATAAATACATAATGGGGCATGGAATGCCAGAGCTAATTGCTGCTTGTTACATTCTTGCTCTACAAGTACTTCTCTGAAGAAATTTGTGGTATTAAGATACAATATAAAGTATATTGCAATAGATTATATTTTATACACAGTGTGTGATACATTAAGAAATATACTGCTGTGTAGGTAAAAGATAAGAAAACTATTGCAATCTTTCTCAGTGGTATTTCTCAGAATATGAAAGAGAACTTTGAGCATAAAAGCTGAAGATGAACAATGTCTTGTACACTTGCATTTTAAAACTGGTAGTTCTTTTAAACTGTCTTACACAAAAAGAACTAAGTCATTGCCATATTTTTGTCTCCTGACTATTTACTCAAAATCTGAGTAGAAGGCAGCATTAAATTAACATCAGTTCGTACACAGAAGTGAATATTATGGGTAACAATACTTTTTAAGTAGAGAAAGAGCAGTACTATAGTGTGTGATGTTCTTGGTTTCTCTTTTTTTTCCCCCCTTTCTTCCTTTTCTGGCAGTTAGACTTTTTGGACCAAATTTCATCCTGGAAGTTTATTCCCCTGTCAGCAAATCCTGGTATCCTGTTTGTCAAGATGACTGGAATGATGACTTTGGGAAGATTGCATGTAAAGACATGGGCTACAGTGTGTAAGTCCAACCTTCATCAGCCTTTGCACATACATGGAAAGGTTAAAATTTCTCTCTTCCACTTCTAAAAGCACGTGTCTGAGCCAAAAACCACATGGGTCTGGTCTGATGCTGTCGGTGGAGGCTGTTGCAGAATGAAAAAGGAATATTGTTCCAACAGCTAATGGGATCTGGCCCACATGGGGTGACCACTTGCTGTGGGGTCACTACATTCACTTACAACATACTTCCAGAGCTCTCTCAGGTCGCTGAAATGTCTCAGTGACATCCAGTCTGACTTAATCTGTCAACGCAGAAAGCCTTGATCTTCAGGGGGCACAACACCAGCTCTGTGGAAGAAAGAGGAGGCTCAGGGGTGACCTGCCTGTGGCTTCCCAGTACCTGGAGGGAGCCTTTTTGTACATGGAGAGGGACTTTCACAGGAGCATGTTGTGACAGGACAAGGGGGAGTGGATTCAAACTGAATTAGGTTTAGATTAGATATTAGGAAAAGATTTCTCCCTGTGAGGGTGGTGAGGCCCTGGCATAGGTTGCCCAGAGAACCTGTGGATGCTCCATCCCTGTAAGTGTCCAAGGCCAGGGCTGGATGGACCTCTGAGCAATCTGGGCTAGTAGAAGGTGTCCCTGCCCATGGCAGGGAGGTTGGAACTGGATGATCTTAAAGGTCCTTTCCAACCCAGACCTTTCTATGGTTCTGTGATAAGATCACTGTAAACATTTGCAGCCCTGAGTGCTGCTCACATTCTCCCCATGTCACGCCACAGCCTAAATTCTTCTGTGGTTTAAATACTTGATGTTGCCTCTCTTTGATACAGCAGGAAAATGCTGCCTTCTGTTGTGCATGGAGCAATGGAGTGAATTTTTGAGTCAGGCAGAACCTGTGTGTTCCAGTTCCAGCTCCAGTAGTTCCAACTCAAAAAAAAAGCAGCAAGAAAACCTCAGCTAGAAAACCTGTCTAGCTGAGACAAACTACACTTGCTGCCCTTTTTGTTGTCCCACTGAAATGTGGATGTCACAATTTAGTGCACCTGAACTTTGCTTTGCTGTGCAAATGTACTGGCAAAGTACATTCACTTCATATTTCTCTGTTACACGAGGCTGAGCATTTCTGCTGTGCATATTAAATAAAAATACTTTTTTAACCTAGTAACTGTTTGATGGGAAGTGGAACTTGACAAGTGTTTAACGAATCTGAGTCTCTGGCACTGTACTGCACCACCAGGGTTCTGTGTTTACTTAAAAATAAAAATAAATATTTTTAGTGCTGTCATGTCAGAAGCTCCAGCTTGGCACAGCTTATTGCTGCTTGTTGGAAAAACTGAAACTACTGAGTTTTACAATGGGCTTTCTGTTTTGCAGGGATACATATTACTACAGTCGTGGGGTAGTACCTGACGTCAACTTTAAAAGCTACATGAAGCTGAACACAAGTGCTGGGAATATAGACTTGTACAAAAAGCTGTACAGCAGGTACCTTTGTCTAATACAAACCTCTTTCCTTTTACCAGGGGTCTGTTCAGCTGTTGGAAGAGTTGTAGGTTCTGCTTGCAGCGTAATGCAAGGACACCTTTCAGCAGGGCTTGTTAGAGGAGGACTTTGTTTTTAATCTGATTGCAGCAACTGCTCTCCCTCCTGTTTAAAAACACAGCTGCCTTTTCTCCATCCTTCCTCTCATCTTTTCTTTTAAAAGATGTCCCTTCCTGTTCCCTCCTTGCTCTCTAGAAGGTTGCCATGTCAAAGGTAGTTATCTAAGGCTCTCTGACCATCAGCAGGAGTTCCTGTATGGTGACAATAGCTACAAGCTGTAACACATTCACAGCAGCTGGTACAGCTTTTTTTTTTTTTTTTTTTTTTTTTTCCCCAGTCACAAGGACACACAGCATGC